TTGGTAACTGGTCTTTTAGATGTTCTTCCACTAGATGTGCTAACTGGTCTTTTAGATGTTCTTCCACTAGATGTGCTAACTGGTCTTTTAGATGCTCTTCCATTAGATGTGTTAACTGGTCTTTTAGATTGTCTTCCACTAGATGTGCTAACTGGTCTTTTAGATGTTCTTCCACTAGATGTGCTAACTGGTCTTTTAGATGTTCTTCCACTAGATGTGCTAACTGGTCTTTTAGATGTTCTTCCACTAGATGTGTTAACTGGTCTTTTAGATGCTCTTCCATTAGATTTGTTAACTGGTCTTTTAGATGCTCTTCCATTAGATGTGTTGACTGGTCTTTTAGATTGTCTTCCACTAGATGTGCTAACTGGTCTTTTAGATGCTCTTCCATTAGATTTGGTAACTGGTCTTTTAGATGCTCTTCCACTAGATGTGTTAACTGGTCTTTTAGATGCTCTTCCATTAGATGCTGTAACTGGTCTTTTAGATGCTCTTCCATTAGATAAGTTTACTGGTCTTTTAGATTGTCTTCCACTACATGTGCTAACTGGTCTTTTAGATGCTCTTCCATTAGATAAGTTTACTGGTCTTTTAGATTGTCTTCCACTAGATGTGTTAACTGGTCTTTTAGATGCTCTTCCATTAAAAACGGTAACCGATCTTTTAGATGCGCTTCCACTAAATGCTTTAACTGATCTTTTAGCTGGTCTTCCACTAAATGATGTAACTGATCTTTTAGCTAGTCTTCCACTAAATGATGTAACTGATCTTTTAGCTTTTCTTCCACTAACTGCTGTAACTGATCTTTTAGATGTTCTTCCATTTGATATGGCAACTGATACAGATAGTTTAAGTGAGTCAAGAGAGTTCAGTTACGGAAGCTCAGGTTCAGTAGAAGGATTTAGTACTGATTCAGTCCTAACAGGAGAAAGCTCAGATTTTATAGCTGATACTGCAGCTAAGGGATTAGATATGTTTTCTGGAATGGTGGATAGTAGTATTTTATATGAGAATAATGAATTTGGAGTCAACAAAGCTTGGGGAGCTTTCAATGAACAAGCTGGTTTTAGAGGAACCGGAGGAGGTAGTTTTTCAGACGAAATAAAAAATGGTGGAGGTGTAGATGGTAAAAGATCTAGGTTGGGCCAGGGAGGCTCAGGTGAATATGAAAACATAGGTGCAGGTGAAGGTTGGAGCATGGATGGTAATGGTTTTTCTGATTATAAATTTGAAGGCAGCAAAGCTGAGTGGACTTTTGGTGAATCGGGTGAATACAAAAGAAATGGAGGAGGTAGCTTATCGGGAGAAATGGGAAATAGAGAAAATGCAGGAGGTGTAGATGGTAAAAGATCTAGGTGGGGCCAGGGAGGCTCAGGTGAATATGAAAACATAGGTGCAGGTGAAGGTTGGAGCATGGATGGTAATGGTTTTTCTGATGATTATAAATCTGTAGGCAACAAAGCTGAGTGGACTGTTAGTGGATTCGGTGAATATAGTGAAACCGGAGGAGGTAGCTCATCAACAGAAAAAAGAGATGGTGGAGAAAATGCAGGAGGTGTAGATGGTAAAAGATCAAGGTTCTGGGTTGAGGGAGACTCAGGTGAATATGAAACAATAAGTACAGGTGGAGGTTGGAGCACTGGTGGTTATGGTTTTTCTGATGATTTTAAATCTGGAGAAATAGCAGGAGGTGTAGATGGCAAAGAAGGCAAACTTGAGATCTGGGGCCAGGGAGGCTCTGGTGGATATAAAGGAGGTGCAGGCGGAAGTTGGGGTTTTGCTGAAGGCTTTGGTGGTAATGGAAATGAATTTGGAGGACCTGAAGTGAGCAGCTTTGGCTATGGAGGTCAGGAGTTTTTCCAAAAAGACTTCAGTGAATCTGGGATATCACAAGGTGGTTTCGGACAGGTTCAATATTCTGGTGACCGTGGACGGGAATATGGAAAGGGGTCAGTAGGGAAAGGAATGTCAGGTATGAAAAGTGAATCATTTAGATGGAGTGAACAAAGCCCTGTACAAAAGAGTAAAGTTTGGTCCAAGAAAATGTAATGGTAATTCTAGTGTGCAGAATACAACAAAACAATTCTAATGGCCATTTTGTTGATTGAAACAAGGCCACAGAAATCATAATCTTAAAATCAGTCATATTTCATAATTTTTATTTTGAGAATCATGTTTTAATGGAATATTTGAATACAAATCATGAATATAAATATCATGCATTCCTGCACATTGTATGAATCACTTTTTAAACAATTGTTCTGATCACCATAAACTGTAATTTAATGCAATGTGTGTTAATTGAAAATAAATTGCTCCTTGAACAAATGTCTTCTTTTTTTTTTGCTAATCAATGTCAGTATATTCAACAGTTCTTCAAAAACAAGGCTATATTTACGTTTGGGTAGATGCTGGTGATCTGAGCCACCCACCAGCTTCCTAAAGGAAACCTGTATTAGAGAAATATGGGAGCTGTCATGGCTGGTTTTTCCTTCTGCCTGGCTGTCAGGATGATCCAATAATTAAAAAAAATGTAAAGTGATTGACCTAGATCAGGGGTCTCAAACTTATTACACTTGGGGGCCTCTCAACAGATTTTTTTTGCTTCCATGGGGGCTGCTTGCCAAATTTAATACTTCAGAATAAAATGTAACTATATCTGGTATGGTACTACGGACCCCAATACACACACAATAAGGCCCAATTCATACCTGTAAGTTTAGGTGCAATTAGGGATTCCTGCGTCAGGAACTTGCATTTTCCTGCAGCAGGAATCCCTAATAATTACAAGTGACAGCTGTCAACCATTCAAGTTAATGATCAGGTGACAGCAGATGAAAACGCCTGCACACCACATGTAATTGTATGTGATATGATTACATGCGGTTAGAAAACACTCTCCCTGGATGCACAATCATTGCGTCCAGGGAGAGTGATTGATTCCTAATCAAATGTAATCATATCATATACCATTACATGTGGTGTGCAGGTGTTTACATGCAGGTGCTGTCATCTGATCATTAACTTGAATAGGTGACAGCTGCCGCTTGTAAACACCAGATTGGGCATTCCTGCTGCAAGAAAACGCATGTTCCTGATGCAGGAATCGCTAATTGCACCTAAAGATACAGGTGTGAATGAAGCCTAATACACCCCCCCATAAACAAAAAAAAGAACTACCCCTGCACATATAAAATAACACACACCCCTACCCATACACATAAAAAATACACCCCCCCCATAGAAAATAATACACTTCCCCCTCATACACATTCAAAAACTACCCCTGCACATATAAAATAATAGACTCCCCCCATACACATAAAATAATACACCCCCCCCTATAAAAAAAAACACTTACCCCCCCATACACATAAAAAAAATACACATAAAATAATAAACCCCCCGCACACCCATATAAAATAAGAAAAACCCCTCCCCCAAACCCACAATAAAATACAGAGTCCCCTCTCCTGCTTACTTTTTTGCAGGGAGGAGGCGAGGGGGCACGATCCCTTGTGATCCAGTGGTGATTAGTAAGGTCTGCTGCAGATCTTCAGCCAGAGCTCAGAACTGAGCACCAGCCGAAAGGATCTCAGTGCTGGAGCTGACAGGAGCAGCTCTGCGGACTGCATCCGGCAGAGATGCAGACCGTGTAGCTGCTCCCGCAAGTCAGGTATGCGGTCCATAAACGCGCGTACCTGACTTGTCAGCTGGCTTGTTAGCTCCTGTGTGATAGTGATAAAGTTACGTGAATTCTCGACACCAGAGAATTCACACAGGTGATCGTCCCGGTAAATGTTTTGGTGAGAAAAAAGTGCTTCAAACACACCAGAGAAGTCACACTGGAGAGCGTCCTTTTTTATGTTCAGAGTGCGGAAAATGTTTCATTCTGAAATATGCACTTGTTAGACACCAGAGAATTCACACAGGTAAGCGTCCACTCTCATGTTCATATTGCGGGAAGTCTTTCTATAGGTTGAACTCGATGGACATTTTTCTACCTGACTAACTATGTAACCATGTGGGGGGGAAAATTGATTAAAAAAATATTAAATAAATGAATATAAAAGTAAAAAATAAGAAATAATAAATAAATGAAAAAAATTAAAAGGTGATTAAAAATTAAAAAATAATAAGAAATGTGTTGGGGGGGAGGGGGCACATTACAGAACCTGGTCTTTGGGCAGCAGGGAGAGTAAATCCGGCCCTGATTGCAGATCATCGGTTTATTTGAATTTACGCCATTATGCCCTTTAACTAATTAACCATGCCGTTTAAGAGATGATAAAATGCAATAATGATAAGTTATTAAAAACTATGTGGGGAATTTATCAAAACTGAAGCAGACAGAATCTGGAGCAGATGCCCATAGTAACCAATTAAATTCTCTCTTCAGTTTGTTCAGTTTAGTTTTGAAAATGAAAAGCAGAAGCGGATTATTTGACACTACCTCAGATTTTGTCTGCTCCAGTTTTCGTAAATCCCCCTCTGTGTCTATGCTCCCCTTCATAATGCAGACTGGCAAAACAGCATACAGAAAACAGAGAAGGAGGGCACAGAATCAGAGGGAGTTGGCATGTCATTTGCTGCTATCATGGCAGCTAAGAAGTTTTAATGATTTAGATTCAATGGTGGACTGGGCATTTTTTTGTGGGGTTTTTTTTAGTGTGTGTGTAAATTGTATTTATTTTGTGACCATTTTTCTTCCACTTAACTTTATTGTTATCACATAGGGGGATAAGACCCCTAATGTCACTTAGGTGCCCCCATAGAAGCTGATGAAGCAGAGATCTGGCTTCTGTAGCCAGAGAGTGACAGATGAAAGCAGAAGTGATGTAGTAAACATCACTTCCTGCATTCAGAGACCAGGGAGGAGAGTGGAGGGAGATTGTGTACTGAGCTCCCTCCGTTCTCTGTGCACGGAGACACATGGACCCACACTGCCGGTCCCGGATCGGACACCCAGGATCGCAGGGACAGCAGTGGCGGGGGTGGCGATGGCGAGGAGAGGTAAGGAGGGGGCGCACAGAGAGATGCAGCATACAAGCGATCGGGCGTCTTTACAGTCTTTACAGACGCCGAACCGCTTGTACGTAAACAGCCATCGCTGGCTGTTTTAATTTCTGGCAGTTTCCCGCACTGCACTGCAAGGGTTGAGTGCTTGTTTCATCCACTGCATCGAAGGTATGTCCCTTGGCATCTTCACGTCTTACACACTGTGTATAGAACATGGTAACTCAGGGACCCTATACTGCTGCAGTGGAGGGGGAGCAAGGCAGAAGGGACCGGTCTAAGAGCAAGCAGGCTCTAATGATGTGTAATCAACTGCATCCATCACAAGTGAAGATAAGAGGTCTCAGCATTTCAACAGAAGGTACACCAATGCCGCTCATTTTCCAGAACAGATACAGGTAGAAAACTGCAACAAAGTTGGTAAAAATCCTAACAATGTACACTGATCACCCAGAGAGGATTGCTTTTTTCTTAACAAAAGTGGAGTTACACTTTAAATCAAAACTGTGCAATGACCATGCTAAACAAATTAACAGGTTCACTTTCATGCTCAGTCTCCCAAGCTAATGTTTCCCTTGATTGCTTCTGTTCACTTACAGGGAGCAAAGACAGGAAGCCCTGGGTAAGCTTTAAGTTGCTCCAGTAGGAGCTTACACAGGGCTGAGGGCTCTACCTGCCACATCTGAGAGCACTGAACCAATCACCAAAGCACTAGGACTGTCACATGGACTAGATCACTCCCTCCTTTATTCCCAGGACAAACTAATGTTTCCCTTGATCCATGCCACTCTGTTCAACTGCAGGGAGCAAAGACAGACAGCCTTGGGTAAGCTCTAAGTTGCTCCAGTAGGAGCTTACATAGGGCTGAGGGCTCTCCCTGCCCCATCTGACGGCACTGAACCAATCACCAAGCACGAGCACTGTCACATGGACTAGGTCACTTCCTCCTTCATACCCAGAAGTACTAGGTGTTTTGCTCACAGCATCTGAAGTGGAGTGGAGGGGTAAACAGGAAAGGAAATGATATGCTGCTGGGGACTAGGCATTAAAACCTATTGCTTTGCCCTGCATGGGTTGAGAACAGGTACTGTATGCTGATTTAAATGGGAGGCCCTCAGTCTACTTAATTTGATAGTAGATTTAGATACATTTATTTTTACCTATATATAATGACAGGACCTCTTAACTGTTGGGAGCATGGCATACACATACATGTAGTACAAATAAGTGTTTTCACCTGTTATTGGATAACTTGAAGGGGATTGATGTTCCCTAAGGAGGGAGATAAAAGATGGGAGTCATACTCAACACTTGGACTCGTCGACCCCACAACCGCTCTGGGGTTGCGAGAGGTGCGGCAGAGGCTCCACAGGGGATCCAGAGAGAGGCTCCTTGGATCGACTGCAGCAGATGGACGTCCTAACAGCCTGGAAGATTCTCCCACCGCCCTCCCTGCACAAGACCACTGTCACAGCTTTATCAGCTTTATCAAGACTGGAACATGTTATGTTTGGTGCTCAAAGTCTATCCGCGACTGGCACCCGTTTTGTGTTGGCAACAGAATGTTTAAAATTGTTTAAAATTGTTTGAGTTATGTTATGGCAAGTTACTTATGTTCATCAATAAAGCTGTGGCCTTGCCCTTCCAAACTTACACATGTTTAGTATCTTTTTTCAGGTAACAACGGTCAAGGCATAACAATGCATAGTTTTCTTAATAGTGGGTATGCCTGTGCTCCTCGAAAATTCTGATGTCATGCATATGTAACCCCTTCACCCTAGGCAGAGTGGTTCTTTAAATTTAGTGTTTCTAGCACTGTAATCAGTCTGGCTGATTTGTAGTACTGTATGTGATCATTTGGTCATTCCTAGGTGTTCTGCAATTGATTGCACCTACCTGTAGTGTGGTTCTACCCTGCCACCAGTGGGGGTAGCCATTAGGGGAACATTAGGAGTGTCTATGCCTCACCAGCGAATTACTAGGAATTCATGGCCAGTGGTGCATGCAGGGGAGAGTATAAATACTCAGGAAATGCCATGTGCTCAGGGCAGTCTGCCCACGGGCCTGGCTTAGGGGTGGCATATACAAGTTTGGAGAAGCTGACTAGGCCTCAAGCTAGCAGGAGGCCACATGTGGATCCAGGTGGAGTCTGGAACTGTCTGGGAAGGAGAACCAAAGGAGCACTATGACTGCTGGAGGTGCAGGAAGGGCTGCGTGGCATGGACCTTAGAAACAAGTCTGGTGTCTCTCCCAGGGAAGATCTCATGCATATCCCCTATTCAGCTGTTGCTCTACTGCACAGTGTCATCCTCTGTTCTACTGAACATCTTCCTGCACTGTGGAATCTGAAAGGGATTGGTGAGTCTGGAAATCATTCTTGCCTGTGGATGTCTGAAGACCTATACCCTCTTTCCCAGTTTGGCTGTTCAATAATAAAACATCTAAAAAGCACTTACAGTGACTGACATCCAATTTACTGTTTACATCCCACAACCCAGCTAAGGATCCAAGTGAAATGTCAGCCCTCTCTGCCTCTGGGGGTCTACCGCAGGCCTTCAGGGTTCAGGGGGCGCTACACACATTTTTGTCCCAAGATCATGTTCTACCCACATAATTCAAAAGGCCCATATATATATACAAATCTTTTCTCAGCTAGTAGAAACCTACCTTTCTGGTGACCTAGGGACTGAATTTCATGTTGAACTTAGGTTGCATCCACACAGGGCATTCTGGAATTCCTGTGGCAAAAACCCAAGCGGTCCTGTGGCAGGAATCAGGGGTATCCCTGCTCAGATGTGGACACTGTAACCATTCAATTAAATGACAGGGTGACATTGGCCGCATCTCAGCGGCAGTCCTCATATAATTGTACATAGGTCAATTATACAACGTATGTGGTTTGGAATACATGATTGTCCTTGGAAGCATCAATCTTGCGTCCAGCCACAGTCATCTATTCCAAACCGTATGTAATCATACAATATACGATTACACGTGGACTGTCGCTGACAGATGCGGCAGATGCATCTGAAAGGGAACAACTAGGATTCCTGCAGCAGGAATCTGTAGGGTCATGCCATAGGAGTCTCAGAACGAAGAATGTGTCCCCATGTGATTGGAGCCTTATAGGAATGGCTGAAGCACCTTATTCAGCTGATATAATAACTAAACAGAAAAGAGGTTTCTTATTTAAAGATACATACCAGATTCTAAACATACATAAAAGTTTGACTTGGCCCACCTGGGCGCCCTGTGATAGCAGGAATGGGCAGAATTAAGAGTGGCCTATCAGACTATTTTTTACAGGCTGTAGTAGTCTCCTTGCCATCATACATAAAAGACTCTCTACATGTCTTGGACATTATAAAAATTTAAACATGGGAGTTAAGCTATGTATAGTATCTCTTATATACTGATATGCTGTATTCATCTCTATATACATCTATACCACATGAGGTAGAATTAAGAACGCTACAATACTTCCTTACAAAGGATCATCTGTTTAACAATAAACAGGACAAATTCATTTGGGATAGAGTGAAAATCATATGAAATCATAATGTCTTCGAATTCATGGAGAAATTTTATCTACAGCACCATTGCTAGGTCACGCATTTCAGAGGAGAGTGCTCCTTTCTCAAGAGGCTTGAGGAAAGAGGACATTCCTCTAAAAATGCATTGCCTAGCAAGGCCTGACCCCTGCAACCTGGAAGAGAACTGTGGAGACTTCCTGGACAAGTGGAAATGAGATAGAGACTAAACATTTAAGTTTAGTTTTATTCTGAATTGAAATTTGGACAAATTCCTTTAAATTCTGACATTCGGATGTCTGAAATTTGGATGCTTCTGAATCTCTGAATGTCAAAACTAACAAATTGAAACTTTTTTGATAACGAAAATTCAGATGCATCTGAATTTTGTCCGAATCTTATTCGGAATGAACTGATGTGTTGTTAAATGTGGAAATAAAAAAACAGCGTGGGGTCTCCCCAAATTTATACCAGAGCCATTAGGTCTGATAGGAATTTTAGGGGGGGACCTCATGCCAATAACAAAAGTTTAGGGTGCACTATAGCAAGCCACCTGCCCTCAACATGGGACAGGGTCCTCTTCCCCGCAATCCTAGCGCAGTGGTTGGGAGGGTCTGCTGGATGTAAATCCATCATCAATCACGTCTTCCAGTGATGTAGATTCTTGTCAATTACAATGCCTGTCGCTCGCTGACTGAACTAAAGAAAACATCCCTGCCTTAGCCACCATGTCCACACCCGACAAACACTGGCTGCAAGTGACAGCTCTGCTACTTGACTGTAAACAAAGGGGAGGACCAAGTTCCATTACATCATTTTTGTTTACATTTCATAAGGTTAGCGGGAGCTGTCACGGAATGTAAACAAAGGGGTAGAGGCAAGTCCTTTGACATCACGGGACCTAACTTTGGAGGGGCCCCGCCCTTTTTTTTCATGGGGTCCCCCCTGAAATTCCTACCAGACCTAAAGGATCTGGCAAGAATTTGAGGGGGGCCCCAAGTTGTTTATTATTACACTTTCACGTTTAACAACATGATAAACTTCATCCAAATAGATTCAAATTGATCGGAACCAAAAACAAACCTTCAAATTGATCCGAACCGAAAAGTACAAAAATTCAGATCAATCCAAACCAAAAACGAAAAATTTAAATCAATCCAAATTCCAAATAACGAACTGAATCAAATTTGGATCCAAAATCTGAACGAAAAAAATGTGAATCGATACGAAACAAATTTTATGAGCCACTACCCAGATAGCAAGGATAAGTTGCTACAAACTTGCGGCATGGTGAAATTGTAATTCTTGTTAACTTGCCGCACACATTCCTGGCAAGTTGTAGACTTGCAGAACACTTGCAGCACAAGTTCTAGTTGGCACTTTTTGAATTTGTAGCAAATTTGCTTGGCAAGTCTACAGCAAGAGTCCTGCAGGTCTCAGCAAGCGCTTTGCAAGCCCGCTGGTCTGGAGACTTGCAATGCAGACTTGCTGTAATTGGGCAACAAAATTGTGAAGCTTGGCAAGTCTGTAATAGTTTAGCAAGTCATTTTCAAACTTGCAGCTCAATTGCTTGCTATCTGGGTACATGTCTAATAGAGAGCAATTGGGTATCGGATACCACTAGCTCGTCAGATCACCTTC